ACCTCGGGTGGCTGGAAGTTTCCCGAACTCATCTCGCTTCGCTCGGTAAGTTCGGGAAACTTCCAGCCACCCGAGGTGCGTCCAGTCCCGGACTCACCTCCCTGCAAGTACGTTTGTTATAGAACTGTTAGGGACAAAGCAAAAAATCGAGGAACTTCAAAGTGAAATTTCAGTTCTCAAGAAAAGATACAGCGTTAAAGCGGGTCAGAAAACCCTGACTATTTCCTCCCTCGAGGCAAGAGTAACAAAGGCCGAAAAAGACAAAGGATTAATGTTCGAGAAAAGGCTAAATGATGCGGAACAAGAAAGAGACGCGCTCAGATTAGAATTTTCTTTAATTTTAAATGAAAATTCAAAAGACCCGAGAGACTTTCAAACTTTTCATAAACCTAAAACAGTATAAATTTATCGAGGAATGATAATCCTGTCGGAACGTCGAAACAAGCAGAGGCATCAATCTCAAGGAATCGCTTCTCCGCTTTAGAAGATCGTATACTGATACATTCATATGTCGACGAAGCTAGCAATGCCAACTCGGTGGAACATAGGACAACTAACACCGCTCCTTTTAGAGGCACGCAACAAACAACAAACAACAAACAACAAACAACAAACAAGCCAAAAAGGGAAAAGATTGTGGTAATTGGAGACTCGATTGTCAAAGGGATACGACAACACAAATTATCGAATGCTGCAAAGCAAAACATAGGGGTGAGATGTTTGCCAGGAGCAACCATTGCCAACATGAGTAATTTCATCAAACCTGCAGTTTTACGACGAAAATTCGACAACGTGATATTACATGAGTCAACCAATGATGCGACAAAGAGAAAAGCAACGGAGATAATAACGACGACGACGAGGACGACGACAAGAACAAGAACAAGAACAAGAACAAGAACAAGAACAAGAACAAGAACAAGAACAAGAACAAGAACAAGAACAAGAACAAGAACAAGAACAAGAACAAGAACAAGAACAAGAACAAGAACAAGAACAAGAACAAGAACAAGAACAAGAACAGGAACAAGAACATGAACAAGAATGAAAACTTTATTAATAGAACGTTTATAGTTTTCTACTCTATGAAATACAACTGTAAATATAGTATATGTTGTGACCTGATCAAAACATTGCATCATTTCCATGTTAGATGAAGACAAGTCTATAATAGGAAGACATTAAGTAAAAGGTGTAAAAATCATTATACTCAAGAAGAATAAATGTGATGTCGAAGAATAACTGCATAAATACTACTGAAACCATTAATTGATCACCATTCATGCATGTTTTAAAAACGTGTACTAAATTACATTACCTTCAAAAGAAGGGAACAGATCTTCTGAATCAGGAATCTAAACAGATACATACATACTATACGTAAGTAATTCGCAGAATTTCTGGATTCAGACGATTTGAAAGCAGGAAAGAAATGTTGTAATAAGTTGCCTTCAATGTTTTCCTTTAATAATCAAAACATCTTTGATCCAGTTGAAATTGCTGATCGTTTTAATAATTATTTCATTAATGTTGGACCTAGCTTAGCCAAACAAATACCTATCTCTTCACGGACTGCTACTTCCTATCTTTGTGGCAATTTTGTAAATTCTATCTTTTTTGACTCGGTTTCCGAGTTGGAAATTAAGGAAATAGTCAGTTTGCTTCGTCCTGATGCTGCTGCAGGACATGATACAATTCCCATGTGGGCAGTGAAAAATTCTATTGATCTTATTTCTAAGCCGTTGTGTGAAATCCTCAATTTGTCTATTGAAAACGACATTATTCCAGATCAGCTAAAACTTGCGCGGATAGTACCAATATTTAAATCAGGTGATAATAGTCTGTTTTCAAATTATAGGCCAATATCGGTCTTACCAGTTTTTTCCAAAATCTTGGAAAAAGCTGTGTATAACCGGCTTATGAACTATATAAATATAAGTGGGATTTTATTTAAAAACCAATTGGTTTCAGAAAAAATCACTCGACCTCTCATGCACTTATAAATCTTTATATCAAATATCTACAGGTCTTGATGCTAATAAGCATACTATTGAATTTTTCTTGATCTATCTAAGGCATTCGACACGGTTGATCATGAAATACTGATTAATAAACTTGAGCATATGGTATTCGAGGATTGGCTCTTGATTGGTTTAAAAATTACTTATCTCATAGATTACAGTATGTAGAGTTTAATGGTACTACTTCCATGTTTAAAGACAAGAA